AAACTACCCATCCAAACAGGTTGTTCTTCAAGTAAAAGATGATTTAAAGAGCATTTTTCTGTCAGCCAAGACTTACACAGAACTGTTTGCTATGAGCTGAACCCAGCTGCACTGTGCCTGTGGTATGCCACACCTATCTTCAAGCGCTGTAACAGAAAGATGAACCTTTTCAGAGCATTTCCTCTTGCTTGTGAAGCAAAAATACAAACTTAATTCAAGAAAATAAATATGTATACAGCTTTTTTAAAAGCTGCCTGATCCATCTCATCAGCCTTGATGTGGAACTGAGGAACTAAATAGAAGACTGTCATACAAAATATTTAAAAAGGAGGCAAGTGGAAGAATTAAGCTGTTCATGCTGGGATGAGAAAGTATAACAGGTTTACAGGACATAGCTATTTTCTTTGTAAAATTTAGTATAAGCCAAAAGTCCTACAAAATGAGTCCTAAAAACTAGGACTAATTTGCTAAGGGAAGGATGGCCACTGTTCTTGAAAACAGCCTGAACGAAGTACGAGTGAAAGTGATTTAGTATACAGATATTCAAGTTTTACTTCTGTTCACAGGAAATATACTGGTGTCCACTAGCCTTTACTGGAGTCCACAGGGCAGTGTTACCAATCATCTATGAGGCAGGCAGGGGCACAGCCACTCTCACTTCATGTGCTGCCCTTATTGTAAGGAATTTCTGCAGGGCTGTGCAGATGACCAAAAACATTAAGAAATTTGTGAAAATTAGGGAAATACTACATGTCTTATTTGTAGCAGAGAGAAGGAAAAGCTGGGCATAGTCTGGTACTGGCCAAACCTGGATTGGAATCTGCCATTTATGTAGCATTATTAAGAAATGTAGTAAGAGTAATGCAAAATGGCAAATGAAACAGCTCACTTAATACATTTCTCCATTTCCCAATCTTTGTCCTACTTCTCATTCTCAGCTGCTTATGAGGTACCGGGTCCTTCAGTGAATCAGAAACCTTCATTATTAAGAATGTTTACTTTCAACTCACTGAAATTAATTTAATCAGTGGAAACAGATGAATATGAAAAACATTAAAAAAAAATAAAGCTCAGAGAAGTCCCAACCCTACTAGTGGCTCATTTCTTGTCCTGTCATTTGCATATGGTCCCACACAGGGATCCTGTAATGGCATGGCAGAATTTCACATGAATATACAATTACAGGTTGTATTCAGTAAAAAATAGGTCACAAGCAAAAGCACCTTTGAGAAAGAACAAGCACCAGGGACTTCACCCAGGTTACCAGGAAGACAAGGGGTACAAGGATGTCCCATCTGCAAACAGCACAGAGCCAGATAAAGACAATGAAAGGTGGGGGTAGCTGTTCTCACTAAACAGGAATAAAAGTCTCCTGAAATTAATGTAGTGAACTCAGTGTCTGCCTTCCTCCACTTCAAGCAATAAGAATGAAAGGGAAATATGAGACAGGAAAGAAGGAAAAAACCCCACAGAGTTTTCAGAGGCATCGCATGTTAAAAAATGAACACAACAGAACTGTGACAACAAAAATGGGCTGTAGACCATATACATATGAATTGTCCTTGCATTGCAAAGAGAATATTAAAAAATGTCACCACTATCATCACTGTGTGCTGAGCATTGCACAGAGCTGGCTCACAAAGCCCCTCAGCACAAGCAAGCTAGCCTTTAATTTCTGATAGTTGCTCAGGTGGAGGATTAAGAGCCACCACATGCTGCCTCCAGCAGTGAAACCAGCTTGAATATCATTCTTCCCCAGCCACATACTGGATCCACAAACAGATCTAGAGAAGGTCAAGGTCTGCAAGGCCAAGGGTGAGCAGTGATAATGGACCAGATATACCCACCAACATGCTGCATGAGGCACTAGAATGTCTGATCCTGGATTCCAGTAGAGGAACACAGCAAACAGTTACTGAAGCTGTGGTTTGCAATCAGGAACACATATGGCATACAAAATTATATAGGCATTTTCTACTCTTCATACAGCACTTTCTGTTCTAAACCTGAGCTCATCCAGGCTAGAGTGTTCCTGAGTTATTATGCTTGATGTACAAAAACATCTATTCAGGTACAACCTGGACAGATTGAAGCAAAGGTGACTTTTTTATTCTTAATTTATAGTATCTAGCACAATAAGGCTCTGATGCAGAAATCAAGGCTTTTAGACATTTGACCTACCAAAGTAATGTCCCTCCATGATAAGCAAGGCTTTTGAAAAAAAACAACAAACCTATTAATGCAATTAAAAATCAAATACTTTGTGATCAAAACACCAGACAGACTTGAGCCTAGACAGTATGCCTGCTGGTTTTTCTTGTTTGCATAACCTCTTGTTTTATTTCTCCCATTTTTAAAATAAAATAAAATTTTAAAAAAAGCTAAAATACATAATTAATAATTTCCACTGTACTTTCAGGGGCATAGATTTAGCCATACTAGAACCCCAGAGGCAGTAGTTGAAACTGGATCTGCTGTGATAAGCCCTATCTCTAGTAGGAACCCTGGCTGACTCGAAATTTGTTAGAAGACCTCTCTTATATTGCCTGAAGTAGTTATTGCTACTCCTGTAGAGGCATTTTTCCAAATAATACAACCAGAAAAAAAGAAAAAAAAAGTTAGAGACAGAACTGCTTGGGTGTTGTTTTTATTTATGTATGGTATAATCGAGAAATATAGGTCAGCTACAAAAGATAAAGAGTTCTGCACATGACAACCAAAACACAGATGCGCTGTTTGCCACCCAGAACCAAAAATACAACTGTAAGCCATGTGTTGACAGTCCCACATTTGTAACAATTTCACTTCAAAGTTTCCTGCTACTTTGTACAAGAATTCATTAATTGCTTTTCTTTCTGGCAACTTAAAACATGGTGATATTTTAAAAAGGCATCTCTACCTGGAAGGCAGTCTCTACAGAAACATGACCTATAGATAATGTTATCTGCATAAGTACAGACACATAATTCCTCTTTGAGAGCAGTAAAAAATATGTATTTATTAGATGTCACAGTCAGAAAAAAAGCTCTCCTCATGTCCTAGTAAGAGGCAGATAAAGCAATGTGGACTTTAACAATTAAAGTGTTGAACCTTCACTGAAGTGCATTTGTTTGTCCTTATGCCAGGTGATTTTCGTGTTTTAATTCAGGAAGCAACAACATCCTACTGAACACAAACAAGGAAAAGAATGTTAAAGGGGTGATGCCCTATATAAGGCTCTCTTTATAGCCACTATTCAACAAGCAGTGATCAACAGTGAACAATATCTAATGAAAGTCACAGACATCTGAGTAATTCTGGTGGCATTTAGAGCTCTTCTCCCTTATTTATGTGACTCAGAGTCAGACACTCTGCATATTTTCAGTAGGGAATAAACAAACTCAGAGTTGTCTCTGCAATACAATCCAAAATGTCCTAGAAGACCATCCTTTTCCAACCTTATTGCAAGTCAGAGGCAGCCAAAAGCTATCAGACTTCCTTTTATGTGGAACAGAAAACACTTCTCCAAAGCTGAAGCATCCTATCCACCATAGGTAGAGATAAAGCCTGGAAAATTTCTCCAATTGCATGAGGACAAATGCCTTCAAGAAGCTGGAGTACTTACTCCATTCTGACATCTTGGAAATATTCACTGTATGATCAGAGTTTAAATGCCAAGTTCAGCTGTGTCTGCCTTATTGGAAAACATGTTACCATTGAGAGCAATGAGCAAAACAGTTGCACTATTTAATTTGGGTGGATGAAAAACATGACAGCAGCATCCCTTCAACAGGCTTCCTTGTAGTGGCCTTTGAAATGTCTGTCAACTGAAACTTGAAAAGAAAGGAGAGAAAGAAAACTAAACCCAACCAACACACAAATTAAAAAAATGGAATATCCCAAAACAAAATGTGACATATTGAGAAGGTTGTCTGGGGTGACAAACAGTTAAATAAAAAACTGAAACTGGTCAAAAAAGGAAAAAAAAAAAAAAAAGGCACAGCACTCTTATGAGCAACTGTTCTTGCTGTCTTGCTAATTTAGTCTTCCTAAATGCTTAACTGTGCCTAAGTTTCCTTTATTTCTTGGGTGTGGGTAAGAATTACAGCAAGACAAAACTTAGTTCTTGTCTTAGTTGTATTTAGTAAATCCTAAAGAACTGTAGAGCACAAAACAAAACCAGAAGATCCCTCTGCTTAAGAGCAAGCCAAACTAAACTGATAATGTAAGCGAGAGGCATCTACATCTATGCAGCTAAGCTCAGGTCTATTTAGTTCAAAATTCACTACAGTTAGGGAATTTTGTGGACTTCAAGAGGTTTTAAATAGCATTCTTCTCCCTTTGCTTAGAAATTTGACCTCTACAATACTACATGTACACTCTTCCAAACATTTTTTTTTCAATTTCAGCAATTTTATGAGTAATGCTAGGAATGAATGTTCTACTTGGTCTCTTTCAGATGAGCATGTCCCATGTATTTAGACTAGACATTCCATTTTTATTACAGCTACAGCCATTTCATTACTCTACTGAAATCATTGCATCACTTGATGAATCATCTATTGCCATGCTATCTGGGGACGCAAAGAATAAGCCAACAGAACTGGAAAAGTACAAGAGAGCAGGTGGGAAGGAGTAGCAAATATTACTCTCACTGAAACTTATTTCTACCTGATCAGCCAAAAAGCAAAGTGACGTGCACTGAAGGTCTCCTCAGACTTCAAAGAGCTCTTCATGTTTTAAATATTTCGATTTCCTCTAAACCATTTGTTGGCAGAATACTAAACATGCACAAATACCAAAGTTGAAGGGCTCAGTGTTAAAGTCTCAGACTCAACAGATGTGAAGGCCTTGGCACATTCAACTTTTATTTGCTTTTCCAAATAGAGGAAATCAGTGAAAAAAACATTAAATCAAGTCTCCCAGTACCTACACTCTCATTGGCATTGCATTTTAAAATAAATTACTGGGGCAAACATTTTTATAGGGTATGCAAAAATTGCATTGAATGATTTACCCACCTTCTCTGTGATGTAGAAATTAGAACTATCAGCATGCTGCAGTGCAAATTGATCGTGATTTGCAAGAGACCACCTTAGAAATAAAAAAATAAATTAATCACAAAATCAAATCTTAATAACTCAAAAAGTACCCTTTACATAATTTTATCATGAACAAACAACTGCCTGTCATTCCCATGTATTTCTCATTCTTTTCCATGGCTTTCAACAATGAGTTCCAAAGTTTAAGATAAAAGTATGCCTACAAAGGAAAAACTTGAGTACAACATCCTACTGATTTTTGCTTGCAGTAAGCAAGATCACTAAATCACTAAAATTACAAAAAAAATTACTATACCATTTTATGCTACCTTATACAATACAAAACGCATATAGTATTAAGTTTATACATTACATTGTGCATAAAATATAACCTTTATAACTCCACAGCAATTTGATGTATGTAAACTAGTTTCTCCTGTGTGGCAGCACTTGCTTAAAACAGCTTTTTTTTTGTAAATTAACATAGTAAAATTAAAGCAAGGTATTTGTCTTAGACAATTACTGGTCTATATTGCAGAACTTGCAGATAACATTTCAGTTGCATATGAACAGTCACATCAACTGGACCAGCTTACAGCACCCACTAGACTCAGTGCTCAAAAATCAAAGCCAGAGGCAGTGCTTTAGCTCCTTAACCCATGAACTGCAGGGACCAAAGCATGAGTGGGTAAAATGCATTTCTGTGCAGAGAGGAAACAAATACTCTAAATGAGTCACCCACATGATGGAGCTGCTTTGTTAGAAACCACATCTTGCAGGCAGTTGATCCAAAATGCACTGTAAATTCAAAATCTGAAGACAGAACAACTACAAGACTTAAGAAACTAATGACTAGACATACAGGATATCTAATTTTCTTCAGAAAAAATTATCTCCTTGTTGATTTAATACTTCAAAAAGCACAGTATCTAGTAGGTACTGTATGGCAGAACTTACCCATCACAGACTTCTTTTATTATTGAAGACAGTGGCTTTTTCTGGTTAATGAAAAAAAAAAAACAACAACAAAAACAAAAGCACAAAATTAGAATAGCACTGAGCTCTTAGACTATGATTCCAAAGCCACTAACTGCAAAGAACAAAACAAGTTGGTAGTATTTCATTTTTTGTTTAAAATCAAGTTTGATAGGACCCCAAAATTTTCTGCTCTTTTTGGTCAGATAAACTATAAAGACAGCAATTCCATATGCATGATGACATTATCAGTCCTTTTTGTCAATCTTAGCCCATATGACAAACTCAGCTTCTCAACTAAGAAATCAAAGGGTCTTTTGTCTACACTGCATCTCATTACCCAAGAGAAACAGATGTAGATACCAACATGGACATTTTCCAGGAATGACAACTGAAGCAAGAAGACTTTCATATTTTTAAATGTTCTTTTGTTCCTTACAGATATGGTCATATGATGACAGTAATCCTCTCTCTTAAGTACACCCGTGCAAGTTCCCCTCTGATAAAACACCAGATGGAAGGTGTTAAGATCCCAGATGTATCAGTTCTGCTTTATTCTCTACATCTGTAAGCAGGAGCATTTGGACTGACTGAAAACAGCTCTCTTGCTTTGGGTCCCAAAATAGAAGAACAGTCTAGTCTGGTGATGTTGCAATGCTTTGAACATTGTTATAAACACAGGATGTACACACAAGTGTTTTTAGAAGACTTCTGGCTAAAAGAAAAAAACATAGATGAAGTTGAATGGCAAAAAAACCCCCAACCAAACCCATACCAAATTTGACCAGCTGAGCTACTACTCTGCCTCTTTTCTCCAACACTGGCTGACCACACAACATTACACAGATCTTTTGTTTCACAAAAATTTCCCAAATCATCTAAACAGCATAGGACCCCCCCTCTCTAGTTACCTTCAATGACAGTTCACTGAATTCTTACAAAACAAAATGAACCCAGAAGTACAGAAAACCCACCATAAAACCACCCATAAACCAACACTATTGTCAAAATATGCTGTTTCTCTTTAATTTTTATAGAAAATTATTAGTCTAAAATTTAACTCAGTATCAGGGTGTGTTATGTGGAGGGAGAATTATTTTTCCCTTGAATTTGTTTTCTGTACTGCATCACTGCATAGACTGAAAGCCAGAGACAGGACTCCCTGTCAGGTCAGGATTAGGGAAGGATTTATTATTTCAGCAGTCCAGTTAACTAAGCCAGTTAATAAATCAGCAAAAACATAACACAAGATCATTTTAATCAAACATGAATGAACGCACCTGCTGAAAACATCCTGTTCCTACTTTGCCATAGTATCTTGGTCCTGAATTTCCATCCTTCCTCTTTCACTGCCATTACTATTTTCACATGACCACCCAGATGGTCCACACCAGGACAGTTCATCAGACTAAAAACTGGCTCAGTAAAAGAGTAAAAAATAGTTTTCACCAGAACCAATTTCCTCATCTGACTTGTTGTGTGCCTAAATGACTAGCAAATACCAGCACATGGGAGAAAACGCAGAAGTGTGAAACTGCTCCATTCTGCAGCAGACAGCATGTCCCTTCTCCACAGCAGCACAGTCCTCTCTGTTGCACTGGCTCAGCTGTTTGTGTAGCAGATCAGGCAGATCATGTGAGACAGTGTGGGGCTTTTTCCCCACTATTTCTTGGACTGTTCAGTTCCTTGGTGTGGATTACTGTGTCATTTATGTGCAGCTGCCTTGACCTCCTGTCTTCCTCCCCAAGGATCTTTTTAGCTTCTGCAATCCTGTGAAAGCAATCCCTGCTTCCAACTGCTCTCTTCTTGAGAGGAATATAGGGAGGAGCACAGGTTTGTTTGGAGCTCAGTAACTCTAGTTTGCCACCCAGCACACATGTGCCAGCCTGCAGGTCAAGTGCTGCCAAGCAAAGCACACAGCTCGGCATGCTGCATCCCCTTCTTTCCTCAGGATAATACTGTGGGTCCCATTCTAGTACTTCCCTATTTTGACAAAAAATTTTATGGGTTATTAATTCCTTCTACAAAATAAACAGAAATCAACTAGCAGATTCTAGGACAAACAGAGGACAAAGTGTAACTGCCTCTCCTCCCCATTATTTCCCACAGCTAGCAATAATATAAATGCTGGGAAGGTTGGATACAATTACTTTCCAAACTGCTATTTTAGTACTGCTAACTTCTCTACACATCAGCTTTTACATCTCTTGTCAATACTATTCGTCTTCCTCCCCCTTTGCCTATTCTACACCAGCTTCGCTTTATTATATGACATTATCTGAAACCAAAGACTTGGACAAAACAAACATAAAACCCTGCAACAAACCAATTTGAACCCATAAGGAACAGTTAAAAGAAAAAAAGCAAATGAATCTTCCATAATAATAGTAATTATTAATACAGCCAGCTTCTCACGGTACAGCTTTGTCCTTTCTATGCCACTACCTGCTAAGACACTGATGTGACAAAGGAAAAAACAAGATGAAAAAAAGTGGAACTCTTCTGGAATACAGTTTGCAATTAGTGATTTGGTAGCACTTTGCAAATTAATAAATGTAAAATAAATACCACTGCAATGCTAATAAGCTGATGCTCCTAATAATCCTTTGGGCTGCACTCCCTCTACATATTAGTCTCCACACAAAATTCTTTCCCCTTCCCTACCAGGCAGTTAAATTGCCACCAGCACACCATTTGCAGCTAAGTGATCCCACTTACGCCGAAAGCAGGCAAAAGCTGCCACGACTCCCTCTGTGCAATCACCCAGGCAGGGTCTGGTTGGCAAGCAAGGGCTGTGGGAAGGCTCCAGCAGGCAGAACGGTGAGCAGGCAGCAAGAGCAGTCCTGCTGCCCTGCCTGCACATGGCCAGGCCTCCTCACCAACAAAACCCTTCTCTGCTCTGGGAGTGGGCGACCAGCTCCCCCAGCCAGCTCGCAGCCAACTCCAGAATCCCTCCACAGTCCTGAGAGACCAGCTCCCCCAGCCAGCTCGCAACCAACTCCAGAATCCCTCCACAGTCCTGCTAGTGAGGGCTGCAAGACACTTAACTATGCTTGGGAAACAGTGAGGACACAACTGCTTAGTGAATGTATAAGAATGTAGCAGTACTAGAAGACAAAGAAAAGTGAGCTATCATATTTTTTCTTTTGAACCATGAAAAATGAGGTAGAAATCTATTTCCACTCTCTGCAAAGCAAATCCACTTAGTAGGCCATTCAAAGACACTTTTTTCCCCACCCTGGCTCTAAATATTTTCCTGATGTCAAAGAAAATTGATTTGATTGCTTTGCTACTTTATTCTAATAAAATTATGCATAAGGAAATGTATATATCTTTGCTGCATTTACAGTTCCAAAGAGTCAAATTTACCTTATTAGTCAGTGTAGTTTAAAGAATTCCTTCCAATCAGACAGTCCAAAAATATTTCAAAGCTTTTCCTTCATCAAAATGAGTATTTTCTGCTAGTGCATTTTAGGTTTGGTTTTATTTTGTCTCTGTCCTCCCCTAGACTAGTCAAAATGAAGTGTGCTTTTACACATGATGAGATGTTCATTTAAAGCTCTAAGATCATCAAGCTGCACCTTTAATGCACAAAATAACACAGATCAAAGTAAACTTTATGCTTTCTACAGGATATAACCCCTTCACCTGACTTATCACAGTATCTATGCTGAACATATTGATTATCATAAAAGTATTTTCCTAGGGTAGGTATTGATAGCTGAAATCCAGTGGGAAATGACAATGGGGCATTATGGCCTTGTGACTTACTGATCTGAACACAAGAGGAGAATCCTGCCATTGACACTAAGCACAGTTATGGCCTTGTGACTTTCTGATCTGAACACAAGAAGAGAATCCTGCCATTGACACTAAGCACAGGCAGCACAAGAGCCAATGTGAATTTGCACACCTGGTAAAGTTTTATCTGCATCGACTGGTTAGTACAGGTGTCCAAGATGCTGGTTAGGTGTAGTCCTAATGACATCCACCACGCAGCAGTACCTGGACATCACTTCTGTGCTCACCTGCACGTGTCTCAGGTCAAGTCTCCAGGTTTTGTGAGCTAAGAAGCACATAGCTCCATATCTCAGTCTTCCTGAGCATACCTGCCCTTGCTGCGTGTGCGGTATTTGGTACAACTTCTAAAGTAACTTGCCAAACATAGGTTGAGATTTCACACTCCAATCTCCTCTCCAGTTTCATCCTTTCATGCCTACCCCTATGGAGAGCCCAGAGGGAACCAATCACCAGGAAGTGCTAAGCACAGGCGTGTAAGAGTGTAGGATGGGTGAGTCCAGGCCAATGTTTTGTTCCAGACAAATTGCGTGACGAGCAAAGGAAAGCTAAGAATATCCAATACACAAGTGTTGACTGAGCCCTAGGTCCAGTTCAAGCCACCAGTACACCAACCTAGGCTTAAAGCAGTTCCAGATCAAACAGCAAACGTGTGTGTGCCTGTGTGTGCGCATGTGTGAACTGTAAAGAGCACAGAAGCCTAAATTTGGGTAGAAACCTGTGTTACATGTGCTGTTCAGATATACTCTGATTGTGCTGTACCAGGAAATTGTAGCTAGGTTTCTTTTAAGCCAAGGCTAAATATCTTTCTTTTCTACATGACTAACAGACGTTCATTGCCTTTTCTTTTTGCAAGGTCTGTTTGTTGGGTTGTGGTTGCTGGGGGCGGTTTTTGGATAATAATTGGGATATCACTTTTCCTGCCAGACACCTTTTAGCCACAGAAGTAACATGAAAACCTTAACCCTTGTTGTCTTTAAGACTATGACAGAAAAACAGCAGATGCAGCACATCTGTTAGTGGAAAACACTCAGCATTAAGGAAAAAAAAAAGTTCTGTTGCTGATCTGTGCATCTGTCAAAAAACAGAATTTCAAGGCAGTAAATACACCACTCTGTCATAAAATTAATTCTATCCTTCTACTAGCAAATATTTTAGTGCAAAAGTTATTTTAATGGATACTAAAAAACAAAAAAGCACCTTTTTTTCACAATCAGTGGAGGCT